TCATTCTCTTATTATTACCTTTCATTTAGTGATTTAAAAGGCTCGGCCCTTGACCTCACGAGCTCGGTTCGCGCTTGTGGCTAATTGAGCTCAAGCTCGGCCGTTGATTTTGAGCGAGCACGGCTCGACCCAAGAGCTCGTGGGTTGAGCCGAGCTTTGGCTCACGAGCTCGTCTTTTTTTTTTTTTCTTTTTTAAAATACAAAATAACACAAATAATGCAATGAAGACACTTTTTAAAAAAATAAAAATTGTTAAAAAAATACAAATAATTTAATAAAGACACTTTTTTTTTTAATTTCTATCATATTGTAATATTTTTTATAAAATATAAATTATTTATGTAATGAAGACGAATTGTTTTTTGAAATACATTTACAAAAAATACATTTTTTTCGATTTTTTTTTATAGTAGATAAAATGTAAACTCTCATACTTTATCCGGATTTGGGACCGGCTACATCAATTTTAAGTATGCAGAGTTAAAAATTGTACACGAACAACTTGTTGTAATCTGTACAATTTTTTAAAGAAAATTAAATTTAACGATTAAAAAATAAGAAAAATTTGATTAATATAATTAAATCAAATATCACTTACCTAACGACATGCAATTTCAACATATTTATCTTGTAGTTGAAAATGAGCATTTTGCCAATCCTTCACGGACATTAACGCTTTCAAAACATTTTCTTTCAATCGGCTCCTAATATCGGTCAAAACCCTTTACCTGCACTAAAAGCAGATTCCAAAGCAACAGTGCTAACTTGAGGTGTCAACAGATCTTTCACAATTGCATAAACAATTGGCCAACGTCTTTCATACTTTTGCCAGAATTCAATTACTTCTTCTGAATTTTTTTTAATTGTTCTATTTTTTTGCATATTATAATTCAAGTAATCAATTAATTCGACAGGTATCGCATTTTGAGTTGCAGCCGATGTTTGATGAGATGTAAATGTGGACAACATGGCACTAGATGAACACAATAGAGTTGCATTATATCTAAATGTATTAATGCCTTGAAATAAATTCATTATTTCGACATTATCTTCTTCAATTTCAACCAAAGAAGTATGAACAGAGGGTACCCGACTAACATTCATACCTATTCTTTCCGCATATAAATCATACATTCCACGTAATGTTTGCTCTAAATTCTTATAGGTGATAGGTGTATCAAGTGTTAAGACTTTATTGATTTGATCAATTACGTATTTAGTTCCTGAAATATTATATCGGGGGTCCATTGCGCATGCTAAATGAAATAACATAGGCAATTCTTCTCAATATTTTCTAAACTTTAATTCCATAGCAATTATAATTTCATTAAAATCAGGATTATTTTAATATTTATGGACTATTCTTGCAATTATATAAAGGCGTTCAAGCACCATACAACTTGTGGAATAATAAACGCTCGATAAAATCTTTGTGGCCTCATAAAAAGATATCAAAAATCTTTTAACTTTCAAAACTAAAACCCAATCGGATTCATTCAACATACCATCGTCATCGCTTCTAACGTATCTATTGTTATAAAAGTCAGCTATTAAATGTTTGAAACATTCACATGACTTTAATAGCAAGTAAATAGAGCTCCATTTATGACCTACGTCGCTAACAAATGTTTTAGTAGTCGTCAGCCCTAGTTCGACACAAAAACTTCAAATACTTGCTTTCTACTAGGAAAGATCGTAATATATACTAATGCGTTCCTAATCTTTTGAAATTCATCCTTTATATGTTTTAAGACATCTTACACAATTAAATTCAAGAGATGACATACATAACAAATATGAAACAATACCCACCAAAATCAGGTTGAAGTACCCTACACAATTTATCGACAACTACCTTGTTAACACTAACATTATCAAAAATAAAAGACCGAATTTCAGTTTCGTAATTATATTCTCTAACAATACTGATAATAACATTATATATATTATTAACATTATGAGGAAACTCAATAATTCTAAAAGTAATCATTTTTTTATGCATGCACCAAAGTGAGTCTATATAGTGTGCTGTTGCAACTATATATGCTCTTTTATTAACTCATTCCCATATATTAGAAGTTAAAGATATAACACCCGCATATTGTTGCAAATTCATAATTAATTGTTGTTTTGAATTATTGAAATATTGTATTATATCGACACGAAGAGTGTTTCGACTTATCCCAACGTGCCTTAATTGTATATATTCTTTCACGAACGAGACGAGTGTTGGTTGTTAGCAATAACTAGAGACAACTCAGTGGCAGCAATAAATCTCACTATTCCGGTTCAAGTATTGTCCTTCGAATACACCCATGTGAATAGGGGTGAAGTTGCAGATACGACGCCTGGACTGCCAAATTGCAATTGTGTTTCCATGTCTGGCCGCACATACTTTGTAGTGGCGGTTGAGATGGGTGGTACCAATTCCTTTTTGTCATGCTAATATTTGTTGGCATTATTTACATACTGCCTTAGATTCTGCAAGGTCATTGATGATTTTTCCCGTTGAAATCAACTTAAAGTGATCCTAACATTTTGCTTGTTTTTTGCCCTTTCGCTTTTCCCTCGCATCTAGGATGTTTAATTCGGTATTTTCGTCGTCATGTTTCGTTTCGGGAATGTTAATATCATCCAAATCAATTTGACTGTTTATGATGAAATCCAAATATAATAACTATTAAAAATATAAATGTAGTGAGAATTGAGAATTGGATGAATTGAAATTGTAACTGAATAAAATGTAAAAAATGAATCGATATTGTATATTTTACACAACAGTACAAGAGAGTAAAAACTCGATAATTGATATAAAAGAAAGTTGAGAAATGAGAAGTGAGAATGAGGAGGTAATTGATATGAAGAAAAATGGGGAGTTAAGGGGGTATTTATAATAAAAGAAAAAAATTTAGTAACCCTAATGATCACTGAAAAAAGTGAACAAAACGATAAAAAGTGACCGTTTTGGTCACTCAAAAAAGGCAAGCCACAAGCCTCATCCCCAAAACGAGCCGCGAGCCTAGCTCGTGGCTAGCTAACGCGAGCCTGGCTCTTGGCTAGTTAAAACGAGCCGCTCGTGGGTGAGCATTGTAGCTCGGCTCGCGCTTGGGCTCGTTAATTTAAGAGTCCGAGCTGTCCATGAGCCCTATTTCGACGAGCTAAGTGACCGAGCCGGCGAGTGGCTCGTCCCGTTTGACATCCCTACTTTCATTATAGTTTATTAACACTTGTAAAATAATTAAAACTAAATTTGATATAATTATGTAAACATAAGGATTTCTAAACTGTTAGAAAAAGGAAAAATCTATGGAAACAAT